TGCGGTGGGCACACTGAGTATTGGTGAGCTGTATGTTGTCAGATCACCCAGTGTACTGCAGGCTATAGTTCCCTCCCATTTACATGGGACTAGATACTGTCTCCTGATTCTAAAATGCAACCCAGAATAAAGCCATGATTTATAATGGCAGACTCTACATTTACATCAGTATCACTGATATTTTTGGCTTTCAGTTGTCATTGGTTAAAATGCATAAGCAGTCCTGGTAGCAGAGGCCAGAGTCCTGGCCTCCCCCCTTGCCAGGACAGTTCACCTTCTTCCTGGACCACAGAGTTAGGCTTTTTTTCTAACGGAGTAAAAAAATGCTGACAGTGGGTTGCTAATAGTATTTTTTTTTTTATTTACTTTTGAGGTGCAAGCAGAAATTGGCCGTCGATGGCAAGGTAAGAGCTATGGAATAATGCCAGTGTGGAGGAGGAGGACTAGGTGGACCATGCCATCCAGTTCTGGAATCAAAATGACTACCTCTGTGTGCTAGGGACAACAGCTGGGCTTGGACCAGTGGCACTGAAGAGTCTGGTGTTAATCTAGGATAAGGAACAGGTGATTGTAAGAGGGTGAATCAACTGCTGGTCATTTTACACTGCTTGAGTGAATGAATTAGAGTCCATTTCTCCTGCAATTCCACTCCCCGAAAATGTAGGGGAAAGAAGCGGCAAACACTGTAGCATCAGATCAAATGCTAGTCGGCTGGACACTTGATCAGCTCTCATGGGTAGCCTATGCAAAGTGACACTATTGAAGTGTCCGATCTGGAGTGCAGTACCCATGCTTCAAACTGGATTCAGACTAGCGAGCTGGACTCTTGCCTCTGGTTTTGAATTCCTGATCTAGTACGCAAGGAGCAAACTACAATTTAAATCTACAGCATTGTCTATGCAACTCCCATTTTGGATCCACAAGGAAGTCAGGAGATTCAGAGATAAGACAGCGATGCTCTCATCTGAATTTTGGATATTGAGCTGAACCTTTTTGTCAAACCCGCCGGTGATGCTCAGAGCCTATTCTGATAGCCTATGAGCTGAAATTCCTCGAGAATTAAGTAGGAGGAAATGGAGTGACTGGGAAAGAGAAGACTGCATTTGAGGGTCTTTTCGGATTCACTGAGCTAGAGCAGCTAAAACACAAAAGGAAACCAATGAAGCTGCTCACTAGAGAAAGACCAATTGGAGGGGTGCTTTATGGATGCAATTTAATTTTAGGGAAAAGGAAATGGGAACAGAAGGAACCAATGTGTGAATAAATGTGAATAAGAGCAGCAGAAGAAAATCAAGCTAATCACAACGTAAACCTTTTGATGAAAATAGAAAAAAACAACAACCCACTTTTTAAAAACACTCATTTTCTTTTTAGGTTTAAAACTAAAGTTGGATTTTTTTTTCCTGTTAAAAACAAAACAATTAAATCAAAGGTTGAAATTATTGAACTAAAATGTAATGTTTTTGTAGAAATTGTTGGTTTTATGGCAAAGGGATTTTCCATCAAAAGAATGCTCAATTGTTGGTTTTATGGCAAAGGGATTTTCCTCCAAAAGAATGCCCCCCCCCCCCAAAAAAACAAACAAAAAACAAAAAAAGGAAACTTTTTAGTGACTCTACAAAAGTGTAAAGGGATGATTAATATCTAAGAATATAAGAAGTGCCATACTGGGTCACACCAATGGTCCATCTAGCCAGTATCCTGCCTTAGAGCGTGGTAGAAGTGGGTGCTATAGAGAGACAGCACTGAACAGGATATCTCTAGAGTGATCTATTCCCTTTTCTATACCTTCACTGGCATCCACCAGTATTGGGATACTCTTGCTGGGTTTTCCTATTTTTCTTGGATTTGGGTCTCCCACAGAATCCCTTGTGGCACGATACGGCTGTGGTTTCATCCAGCTTCCTGTCTTCAGCCTCCAGCTCATCAGCAGTATAGGTTTAGGTAGGGTACTCTGCCCTCAGTTGAGTTCCCATAAGTATCTACCAATTCTGGGCAATGGGAGTCCCCATGAGAATTAAAAATTTTAAAAAAAAGTAAGAAACTAATTGAAGGCAACAGGCCTCTCTTTCTTTAAAAGGCCTTTGGTAAGCTGTAGTCTCTACTTTAGCGCTCTTGAACAAGTCATTCATAAAGCTTACACTAACGTTTTGGAGTCTGACCCACCTTTCCCTCAGAGGGATCAAAGAACCAGTGGTCATGGGAGCAGCCCATGGTCTCTGCCCAGCCCTGTCTCCAGGACCTGACATTTGAAGGCCTGTTCTGCCTCTGGAGTTCCTGCCAGCTGAGCTGTATTTCCCCACTTTCAGGTCCTTCTTCCAGGCCTCACAAGCCTTGCAGTTGTGGCAGGGCTCAGGACCACAGTGTTTTATTACACCTGGCCTTGCCTACATGGGGTTTGCACACCCTTTTACACCACCCAATTAGCACATACAATTAATAACAGACTTTTCCATTTTGATGTCTTCACTAAGATGAACATCTCTCTTTACAACTGTCTGCTGCCCTGTTCTAGTGCCCTCAACTACTTTAAAAAAGAGGGGAAACCAGAAATATGGGGCTAAGCCTCTGTGGCTGAAGAACCAGGTAACTATTAAGACCATTGCTAAATACTTTTCAAAATGCCTATGACTGTTTTTTGCTCTCTGTTGCTGTAAAACTAATTGAAAAGTTTGGAAATAAAAGAGCATTCCTAGTCTGCCTCTCCATTGATTTTTTTTCCCCCCCAGTGTCTGCAATGCTCCATGGAGGGATAGATAATCACCCATGAACTTCTCTGAGAGGAACATCCGGGTAGAGGAAAAAGAAAATAACTTGAAAAATTAAGGGTCGCTTTCATTCAGTGTATCTGGACTAATGGGAGACTGGTGCCTCCCGTGTCTGGGGCCCAGATCGCCGAGGGGGAGGGAGGGAGGTCCCCCAGCACCCAATTGCCAAGCCAGTGGCAAAACTGAAAGTGCACTTCTGGTGGCACTTCTGGTTTCGCAGCTGGCACTTCCAGGAGGCTCATGGCTGATCTCTGGGGGTGCATGTGCACCCACGTGCACACGCTACACATTGCCAATGTCTAGGCTTTCTGCCAAAATCTCTCCAGACGTCTCTCCAAAATCTCCCCCAGACGTCTCTCAGCTGTTTAAACGATAACTAAATTAGAATAGGACAATGTGGAGTTGCCTTTGCCTTTCTTTTCATGAAGCAAGATGCAGGTAAGTAAATGCAGTGGGATATAACACCCTCCTACAAAGAAAAAGGGGTCAGCTGTTCCTTTTCCATTATTCTGTACTACTCTGACTCAGGCGTGTTGCACCCCAGGTCTGTATTCTGCCCTTGGGATAGAAACATAGATTGAGGAAAATGCATTTTTCAGCTGCACAGTGACTTCCTGGCCATGTTTGCACAAGATGCAGACTGCGCAGTTGTTACTGCGCTGTCATTTAGGGTACAGACAGAACTGACCATTTTTGCTCCATTGGACCATAGAAAGCAGTCTATAACTGACCAAACACAAGTGCACAGCTGCAGACAGCTTAAAAAATGGCCGATTTGGTGAAAATCTAGCCCCTCATTGCAGGAGGTATCAGATAAAGATGTTTCAAAATGTAGTGTCTTTTGTAACTTGTGTCTGCAGAGCTCCCAGCCTGTCACTGCTTTCAGAATGGGAGAGGGGAAAGGGAGTGGAGGGAGTTCAGTGGCGGGGGGGGTGGTTCAGCCCCTCTGCAGGGTGTGGAGGGGGGGTGTATTGGAGCCCCCTTCCTGAGGTGGGGAGCACCAGCTGGGGAGGCCCAATAATCAGCTGCCTTTTCTCCTCCCATTTTGAAAACAGGGAGCATTAGCAGAGAGCCCTGGCTGTTGCTGTGGGAACCTGGCTGCAGGGTCCTGGCAGCAGCTAGATCCCACCCCCACTTGGACTCAACACTGAACTTCTGTTTGGTCTGGGGTAATGCTGTAACTCAGGCTGAGGTTACCATATTTATACCATATAGGGCTACCATATTTCCCGTATAAAAACAAGAGGGCACCTGTGGGGGAGGAAAGGGGGAAGGGATATATGATGGTGGGGTAGTGGTATGCCCATACCCTGCCTCTGCCCTTTACACTCCGAAGCTACCCCCCCCCGAGCCCTGCTTCTGCCTCTCCTGACCCACTGCACCCCACCCTCCAGGCCTGCTGGTGCCCCTCATTCCCAACCCACAGCCCCCTGCCCGCCCCCAACCCTGCCTGTGTCCCTTACTCCTAACCTATAGCCTCCTGTCCCCCCTAGCCCTGTTGGTGCCCCTCAATCCTGACCTACAGCCCCCTGGCCCCTGGCAGCCCTTTCCCCATCCCCACACACACTTGCCAGCAGCTGCCAGGGCCCTCACACTGAGCATGTGATCCACCGACAGCCCGTCACCTTCCCCTGATGCCCCCAGCCCCAAGCAGACAAGCCGGAAGAGCCGGGGAAAAGCAGAGGCAAACAAAAACCTGGACATTTGCTTGCATTTGCTTTTAGAAACTCGATCGGACAGAAGACAGGGGGCCAAAAAACAGGACATGCCCAGGAAAACCCGGACGTTTGGCAGACCTACTCAGAACGCTCTGCAAAAATCATTCTGAATTACAGCTGGAGTTGCACTTCTGTCTGCACCCTTACTACCTGCATAAACAAGTATTAAATAATTGTGGCCCCTGGGGAAAAAAAACAAAAACAAAAACAAAAAACATTACAACTTGGGACTTTATCCTCTATCCAGAAGAAATCCAGGACAGTGCAGCTGCTATTACTTATAACTCATATTGATCACCTCCATTTATGTGATCCATGATAGTAATAAGTGTTTCTAGTACTCCAGAGTCTTATTTAGTGCCCTGTAAATCTGAAGAAGAGAAGTCCATGAGAATTAGTTTGGAGACTTTGTCAGGTTTAAAGCTCAAGGCAGTTAATTGACTTTTCACTTCATACAAAGAGAATTATCTAGTCTCAATGAGAGTATTCATTTTTTCATATACTTGGGTAGAGAAAGACCTACAGCTTCTCAGTTTCTTTATAGAATTAATCTTCCAATTGGAAACATATCATTATAAAGCAGACAGCTTCACAACATGGAGTGAGAAAAAAAAAAAAAGAATGAAGCACAGGAGCCGGGGTTCTTCTACTTAATCAAACATTTTACTTCAAGGGTTGTTATTTTCTCAGTCTATGATGACACTCTTT